AGAAAGATGGTAAAGCAATCATTATTGGAGAAATTAAAATGTTATCACCAGGTATGATGCCTAAATTAATGGAAGAGAAGATAGATTCAGATGATTATACAGATAAATAATCTCCTTTATTTGAAAGTTAAAAGAATAAATGGGATGATTCCAAATAAAAAAAAAAATAATTTGAATCAACTAAAACATTGACAAGAGCAAAATTATCTGAATTTGTAAATGATATATTTGAAGTATCAGTTACAAAAGATTAATAATATTTTTCAAGTAGTGAAATTTGTTTTTAAACTTTATGTGAGTTTTTAGTACAAAATCAAATGAATAATATTAAATGTTTTTTAATTGATTATGAAAATGATAAACATGCATTTTAAGATTTTGCTCAAGATTAATATAAAAGTTATGATAAATATTTTATTTATAATGAAAAAGATGAAAAAGATGAAAAAGATGAAATAGATGATTCAATGTTATTACATGTTATTAAATTTTAGAAAAATGAAAATCGATGGGCATTATTAAAATAGGCAGCAATGTAAAATTAAGATAAATCACATTAAGCTTTAGGTGAAAATGAATAATATTGGTAAACTTGTTCAAACAAACATAGATACTTATAAGAAGTTCATAATAAATTAATAGATATAATAAAGAAATCTCTATTTGCATCTTTTATAGAAGAATTTGGAGATAAGATCTTTCCATTATGTATCATAAATCTTAAAGATAAATTAACATATTCAACTGAAAGCACAGCTCATAATTTAGTAATATCACTATATTTAGAAGGTCGAAAATCAGAATATAAAATATCACCAAACAATGAAAAGAAAAAGAAGATATCAACTCAATAATCTATTGATGAATAATCAAATCAACATATAACTATTCATTTTTAAAGATTTTCACTATTTCTATCTACTAAAAGTCTAATATCTTTATTAGATTTTTCTAAAGGTTTAGATTCTAATTTGATGAATTAAAGATAATTTTATGTCTCACAAGATCATAAACTATTAGAATGCATCTTAAAATCAAAACCTTTAGCTTAAGAACTTTATAAACCAAATTAAATAAAATTTTTAGTTTAATTAAAAGATAAACTTAAAGTTAGAATTGTATCTGATCAAATATCAAATTAAATTAAAACTGAATTAAAGTTTTAAATTAAAAGTATGTCCTTTTCTACTGTAAAAATTGATGATTTATTTTCTCATGTAGACAATAAAAATGAGTAAATTCTTTTTTTATAACATCATAAATTTTATACAGCTTTAAAATTATCAATAGCTCAATTTAAAATTGCTCATAAATATTTTTCACCTGATTATAAAGCTAAAATGGAGGAACTTAAATCTTATGAAAAAGAATAACATTAAGAAGATAAAAAAACTCCATTAAATAATATTAAATAACCATTTAGCAAATAAAATACCAATTAACCATCTGAATAATTTTCAAAATAAGTATCTAAAAGTATTGATGCTAGATAACTTTATAAAACTGCTAAGTAACCTTCTTCTTCATGTATGTAATAATAATAATAATAAAACATCTAAATACATAAAAAACAAAGAGATAGTAAATTTCATATCAAAGGAATAAAATAAACAATTTTAAAAACATCAATTATTGCTCTTTAATTGTAATCTAATATAGAAAATCATGCATTATTAACTGACTAAAAATTATATATTTAAATACCTTACTTTAATTTAAGAATTAATGATTCATTCATATGTTTTATAGAGTTCTTTTTAATTTTAAAAAATAGTATTGAATATGTTAGTCTACCTTAATAAAAGACAAGAATAGGATAGGACAGTTTATTAAAGGCTGAGCTTGACACTTTATTTCATGATCATAAAGAACAAAGTTCTGATTGTAAACATTGTATACTCAAATATAGAAAAACTATTAAATTGTTAAATATTCTTTTTGGAAGCATTGATAATATGAATAACTCAGCATCAATTGCTTCATGGTTTCATATATTAAATTATGAAAGTTTAAAATTTGGTAAACCATTTAAGGAAGATGTTCTACATAAAAAAGGTTAAGGATTAAAAATAACATTCTAAAGTACTCCAAAAGGAACAAATCATGGATATTATAAATCAATAATTGCCTTCCCAATTTTATTAATTACAAGAGATATTGGTTATTTTAAAGATAATCTTATGATTCATTCATCAGCCTCTAAATTCAAAGATAATGGAGCTATTGTTAGAAGTGTTTAAAAATTAGATAATGAAGGTGAACCTTAAGGAAATTAATTTGATAAACACAATATAGGAGATAACTTATTCTCAAAATTTCGTCCATCTTCTAAAAGAGATTCAGGTCAATCTAATATACCTGAAAGACTTAGAAGGGAAACAAATTATATTTTAGTAGATCCTGCTTTTAAAGTAAAGGACAAACATTTATTTTGGTCTAAGCTTGATGATAAATTTATATTTTATTGTAGAAGTAATGAAAAAGAAATGTTTAAGTCTGAAATAAGTCTTTAAGATCTTGATGATAAATAGGTTGATGTAATTTTATAATCTGATGAAAATTTAATCAAATCAACTGATCAATCTTTATATATTTTATTATATTACAATAAACCAATAAGAAGTGAATTAATATAAAGTAGAGATATTTAATACAGAAATGATAAAAATTCAAAAGTTAAATTATTTTTCTCTTTATAAACTATTAAAGCTGTTTTTTAGAATTAATATGCTGCTTGTAACATTTTAACAACATTTAAAAATATTAATAAAATATCATCAATTATTTAAAAAGTATATGATAATGTTTATTATTTTAAAAGATTTGATGATTAAGTTTAAGGTCCTAAATTATAAGAAACACCTATTAAAGTTTTAGATGATATGATAGTTTCAGCTAATATTTAATAAATTTATTTAAAATCTAATGAATCCTTTTTTAAATTACAGATGCTAAAAATAATGCTTAATCTAGAATTATTAAATGTAATTACAAATCCAATAAAATCAAGTTTCCATAACAAAAATTCTAGTCTTGTAATGTTAGAAAGCCATTCTAAATTAAAAACAAACCAAACTTAAATATTTTTATTTGATGATTTTATGATTATGAAATGTCATTCAATTATGTTTAGCTTTAATTAAGTTAGTATTGTTGATATGAGATTACTTCATATTTCAAAATTATCTAATGCTTTATAATTTTAAGTAGAAGATATTTCAATTAGTATAATAAATAATCATACAAAACAAAGAGAAAATTTATTAACTATGCCAAAGAAGGAAAAATAATCAACAAATAAATCAAATTTTTAATAAGAGAATAATAGAAAAGTTGATAAACCTGTTGCAATAACAATAGCTTTAGAATTTTAAAATCTTAATCCAAAAATTAATATGTAAATTCAATAAGGCTAAATCTTATTATCATAAAAGAGAGTTTAAGATTTACTTATTGCAATTAATAGTTTCTATCTTATCAATATTGAGGAATCCATTTCACTTAGATAACACTTAATAAAATATATCTTTTTATAAGAATTAGAAATTTTAGGATTAGAGTAACCTTAAATTGTTAATTTATTTTTAAAAGATAATAGATCTAATTAATCAGCACTCAATTTATTTTTAGATCTTAAAATTGAAGAATTATAGATTTCACTTTAAGAATAAGAAAGTGATTTTTTTGAATTGAATTTATTTCAAATTTAAATGAAAAAAAGAATAAATCAAGAATTAGAACTTTTAATTAAATAAATTGAACTCAAACCATAATATTTTAAGGGAGAATATGGACATTACCCAAATTTAATTTAATAAAATGGATAAAATGAAATGAAAATATCTTTAGAGAATAATGTAATTCATATTGAAAATATCTAATTTTATATGATATCAAGATATCTAAATGAATTATATGCATTTAAATTATAAATTGAAAGAATATTAGAAAAAAATAAATAAGATTTGGCTGAACGATATTAAAATGACTTTGAACTCTAATTGTAATTAAAACAATAAGAAAATTTTGAGTTAAATAAAGAATAATTCAATTATTAAATTTTGATTAAAAATTCTTAGATTATTATTCCTCAATCATCTTCAGATAAAAATCTAATTAAAATAATTTTTGATTAAGCAGATTTAAAGATTAGAAAAGGTAAAATATTCTCAAAAATACCAGATATATTTGATTAAAAAACAGACATTTTAGAACATAAAAAATTATTAATAGATTATGAAGATAAATTTTCTAAAACAATTGATAATAAATTAGAATTATAGGATATATTTATAACTGAAATAAAAGGTAATTTTCTTATGGTCAGAGTTGATTATGAAATCAATTGTTAATCTAATGAATCTCCATTAATTAAAGGAAATCTACTAAATGCAGGTAATTTTTAGATTTTATTATTTTTTAAGAAAGTTTTTATGTTGAAATGCATATCCCTTCATTCGAATAGCTTTTAGGATTGAGTGGATGGAAATATTAAGATAATTTTAAGATAACACCAAAAAAACTAAAAATGAAATTAGATTTAGGAAAATTATTAAAGATTCAAAGTTATATTGATCAAAATTTTTCAGAAAAGTCTCCACTATTTGAATTTTAGATATCTCAACTACATAAAATTAGTTTTGATGTATATCTAGAATATAATTGATAGCTAAATATATTGTAAATGGAAGCATCTTTAACTCGATATAGTTAGATAGAAAAAGATTAAGCTGAAAAACTAAACAGTATTAGATTATATAATCAATATAAAAGAAAATAAAATAATCAATAAGATAAACAATCTGCCAAATAAAATCATCCAAATAATTGATATAAATTTGAAATTAAAAGTTTAACTATTTGTTTCATAAATTCTATTAAATTAAATTAATAAAATTTTCTATTAAAAGGATTGTTTTTTCCATTTAGAGAATATTTTATTATATCATTATCTTTGTATTAATTTAATATTAATTAATAATTTTTATATAAAAATTCTAATGGAATATAATGGAGGAATAATTAGGATTTAATCCTAACATCCAAAATTCCTTAGTTTACTTTAGAGTTTAGATTCTTAAGGTACTTACTCAAATACAATTCATTAATAAAATTGCACTTTTCACAAATTTTAAGAAAATCATAATTTAATAATTTCAACTGGATATCTCATAGCAAAATTTGCTTAAGCCATTAATTCATATAATATAAATATAATAAAATAACATATTAAATTTAGTTTAATATTATAAGACAATAAGGAAATAAACTTAAATCTAATTTGCCTTAATTTTGATGATTGGATTGCAGAAAAATTAAATAATTGCTATATTGAAATAGAATTAGGGTTTATTATGTATTTTGAGTATCCTAATATAAATATTGTCTAATAAATTCCAAAATATTGCAGCTCACTTTTGACATAAGGATAAGAAGTCTTAACAATTAATTAATCTCCTTTTTTAAAAGGTAGTGTGATGTAAAAATAGTATTGTCGAAAGGCATATGTCTCATAACTATTTACAAATTAAAATTAATCAAAATAGCTAATGATGTTAGGAATAGTTAGTTAAGTAGGTCAAGAAGGAGGAGGAATATTTAATTCTAAAGGAGAATATGTTGGGATTCTTCTTTAAAATATTAAAATAGGCAGATTAAATAATAGATATTTTACATTTTGTGTGAATTGGGTTGTTATTAATTCAATTTTTAATAAAAATACTCCATAACTTAATCCATCTTATTTTAATGCTGAAATAATAAATTAAATACTAAATGTTACAAAATATATATCATAAGGGGCTGGTTAATTTGGTAGTGGAATCTTAGTAAATGATCTATAAAATTAATAAAGCTATATTTTAACAGCTAATCATGTTTTGTCAGATATTTTAAAGGGATCAAAAATATTAATTGGAGAAGAATAATATGAGGCATTCATTTTGGAAGACACTTTGAATAATATGGACTTTTCAATAGGAAAAGCAAAAAACTATATATCATAAGGTTTAAATATAGAGGATGATGTTATATTTTCAGAAGTTCCTGTAGTAGGATCTACAGTTTATGCTGTCGGGTATTTATATACTCTATTTTAATACAAGCCTTGTATATCCAAGGGGTCAATTATTAAAATAATTTATGACTAATTCAATTAAATGATATCAATTGTTACAGATTGTTTTATCCATAATGGTTATAGTGGAGGGGGACTTTATAATTAATATGGATAATTATTAGGGATCATTTCATTTAACATTTGCCATTCGATTGAAGGTGTAATTTGTGATTTATCCTATATTACTCCAATTTTTCCATTTTTAACAGTATTCTAGGATTTAGTACAATAAAGGTAATAAATTTAGAAATATGATTAGAAATTTGACTTAGACTTCAAAAGATAAATTAAAATAAGAAATTAAATTGGCATCTGAGATTAGAACTCTATGTACACTAAGAGAATTACCACAAATAGGATATATTCCAAAATTATGATAAATATATAGTAGACTTATAGAAAATTTATTAAATATCAATTCATGCCTTTTTCATTTTTTCTTTGATTTTCTAAAATTAATAAAATATTATTACATCATCTAATTCTTTTAATTTATTTTATCTTTCTTTCATAAAAAGTTACTTTTATTTAATAACTTCTTCTTAATTCTTTTTGCTTTTTACTTCAGGTAAATTCTCATAATTTTTTTTTGTTAATGCAAACATCTCCTTTTCTTCAACCTAAATAAGTTCAAAATTACTTTTGCCTTTTATCCCATAGCTAATCTTTCCATTAATGGACTTTAAACTCTTTTAACTTATTCTTTTTATCCACTATTTTTATCATCATTTATTGGAGTTTAACTTTTATTTTATGATCTTTTGCTTCTTCCATATTCCATCATTTCTTTTCTTAATTTGATTTATTCTTCTTTACTTCTTTATTTAACATTTACAATCCAACTTTAATCCTCTTCTTATATTGGCATTTAAACTGAAACTCTTCTTTCAACATTTGCTGTTTTCTTTCTTTATGAGAAATAATCTGCAAGACATTTTTTACTTGATTCATTTGTTCCTTCTTCAAAATTAAATTCTAATTTAACGCTTGGCTAAGATTATTTACGTATTTCTGGATTATGAATACTATAAGTTTTATCTTATTAAATAGAAGAATTTGTTATATCAATTTAAGAATATTTTCTTTAAACATCACTTTTATTTTAAATTTAAACATCTTTTTGTTAATTATCCATTTAAAATTCAATAGAATTTGTATTAATTTATTGATAACTTTAATTTTTACTTTAATTATCAGTATTTTAAATTTGCAATTCTTATTAAGATTATTATGATATCAAATTTCTTTAAGATAATTAAGTACCAAAAGTTAAAGATTCCATACTTTACTTTTATTGTTAATGAGATTTTATTTATTATTATTATAAGATTTACTTTGATTTATTACATTAAGATTGATTGTGATATGATTCATTAATGTTTATAATTGATTAATCTTAAACAGATTTATCAGTCTAAATAGCTTAGGATTGTTGCTTTTTTCGTTGTATTTTTTTAGGAGGAGATTCTGATTCTTCTTAATCTTTCTAAGGAGGAATAGACTTTGATTATTATTATTATTATTTTTCAGATTATGTTATATTATTATTTATAACAATAGGTTGTTATTATTATTGTTATTATTATGACTAGAATTGTTAAAGTAATTATTATTAAAAAAGTAATCTTTAACTTTCCTATTTTTCTAATTGCTATTTTAAAATCATATTTTCATTTTACAATTATAGCATTTGTTGTTAAATCATTAACAATCCCATATTATCAGTTTAATCTAAATAAGGTTTGCTATTTCTCTACATTTCATACCTGTTTGTTCTTTATGTAGTACAATTTGAAGGTTGATTTGATCTATGACATTATGGTAATATAGGTTATTTTAATGGATCTAAGAAACTATTATTTGAATTGTTAGATTGTTGTTCAATCCTTGAAACATCTATAAAAATTGATTAAGCATCTTAAATTTAAGAGTTTTAAGACACAACACTAAGAGGTGGCTGATCTACTCTTTTTTTCATTTATTTAATAAATTCATTTGTATTTCTATGCGGTTGTAAATTTTCCATATTGGGTTTCTTTGATGATGGTATTTATTAAGGAGATCTATATTAAATAGCATTTTCTCTATTCATTCCTTATTCAAAATCAAATTATTAAAAAATTTAGGAGTTAAATAAATAAATTTCAATTATCATACACTCATTTATTGAAATCTTACCCTTAATTCTAATCACTATCCCCCTATTCTTCTAACCATTAACCAAATACTACTCCTCAACTTCATTATTCTCAATACTTACATTGAAATTATCTTTAACATCACAATATTAAATACATATTTTATACTATTGAATTCTACTCCATTTATATTTGTGAAACAAAGTTCAGCGTCATATGTAGAGGAAAATTTAACTTTAGCTACACTTTAATTTAATTATTACCTTAAGAATGATCTTTAAAAACTCTAACTTTTACAAATATATTTATAGAGCTTCTACTTTCTAAAATAATTCACTATATAATTAATACATAAATTCTTGATTTTATGCTTAAGTAGGACTATATAAATTTATAATATCAATATTTTCAACTTTTTTCTTTAATTTGTCTTTTTATGATTTCTTATTTAAAATTTGCATTCTCTATTCATCATTTTATTATAATCCATCATCCTCAAATAAAACATCTTTTTACTTCTTTAACCATAAATAAAGGCTACCTTTCTTTGAACCATAAAAACATAAGTATCAAATATTAAGATCATTAATTATGTGATGTAATAATGCTGATTCTTAATCATAAGATCAATATCCCTTATTGATAAAGGTCCTTTAGATTGTTTCTCTGGTTCTTATTAACTTTTATCAATATAATACCATATTAGTTCATGTTCCATTTTATGTAATTTATAGAATTATTTAGAAATTAAATAATTATGTTTTTTAAAGTATATTAATCTTTATGGATAATTTTTAAATAGATTATAATGAATAAACATTTCTAAATTTAGATAAATAAATAATAGGATTTTAGTATTATATTTTAATTAAGTATAAATTTAATCAGATAAGCATACAATTAAATTTCTATGAGCAGCATTTATGTTCAATTTACTGTTCGTTTTCAAGTATTATTGAAATTTAACCTTTGTTATTCTTTTCTAATAATTATTAACCGACAGAATCATTTATATCAATTTTTCTTTAGTTTTCAACTTCTGATTCTCCTTAATTTTCAAGAACCTCAATATCCTCTTCTATAAGTTCATTTCCATTTTCTTCATGAACAAATATTTTTATATGACTACCTAAAGTGGCAGATTCTATTGATTTTTTCATACTAGTTGTTTTTGAATGTTAATGTGATATTCTTCCTAAAGATGAAAACTTTCTTAAATTTCTTCCTTTAAAATCTTAAAGTTTCCTTAATCCTTATTAATAATCTTCTTAACAGTCATAGGTAAATTATTTTAACAATTCAGAAACTTATGGTAGTTAAGGAGGCCTAAAATCATTTAGATATATTTTACCAGAAAGTTGTTACATTTTAACATTCTCCATTATATTTTTCCTCTAATTATTCTTTCATAATATATTATTATAAATCATCTAGATTGTTTATTAATTTAATCTTTGAATGAATTTGATTTCTGTTTGGTAAGTAATTAATAATTTATTAAAAATTTAATTTAGAATTCACAATTAGTAGATTATTTAAATTCCCACAAAAATTAATCATCAACTCCTTTATATTATCAAAATTGAACTATAATTATATATATAAATATATATATTACATCAATTTCATAAAAATTATTTTCTTAATTTTAGCAATCGTAAATGATTGTCCAATTTTCAATGAAGTAAGGAATCAAAACTTACCGTTTGACTGTTTCCAATAAATATTGAAAGGTTCTAAAGTTATCATTCTCAAGTTGATTTACTATTATGACTGGTCTTGATTGCTTATCTATTCCGAAGATATAAAAATCTCCACATTTTAATTAATCTATATTAGGAACCATGCTTTAATATAAATTAAGCCAACTAAGATGAATTTATAAATTCTCTAAATATATATTTTAAATTACTTATAACGCCCCTTAAATAGAAAAATCGGCTGAGATAAGCATTTTTAAATAATCACTTGTCTTCCATGAATTAGGTAATGGTACTTAAATATGTGATTTGAAATCATCGATCAATTTGATTTCATATTCTTCATAATCAACTTTTTCATAAATGTTTCTAACTATCATTCCTTCTGTTCCAGATTTAATATAGAATTCTAGATTTTAAATCTTATTACATTACTTGAGTGCTTATTTAAGAATTACTAATTCTTTGGTCTCAAATAACTTATGTCTAAATACATCTATATAATTAATATATAAAGTTTATTAATTGATAATTATTCATTCAATAAAAAATGATTACTATTTGTTTAAAAAATATCAATAATTCAAAATGATAGAGCAATCAAATTAATTAAGTTCAAATAAATAAAAATACAGATTCTTATATTTCATCTTCATTCAATAAAAAATATTTACCAATTCTGAGAAGTAAATTAAAATTTAAATGAAATTATTAATAGCATTAAAATAATTGATAATACTAATGTGAAAATATGAAAATCAAAATTGCTGAAAGCATAATTAGCAAAGTATAACTTAAAAATTTTAAAAAAACTTGCCATATTTATATATCCATATTATATGTAATTTTATTTCTGAATTTAAAAGGTTTAAAATAATAAAGAAGGCTGTTAAATATATAAATTGAAATACTGAATTTATAATTTTATAATTTATGATTAATAATTAAATTTTGCTTGTTCATTAATAATTAATTGATAATAAAATCTTATTAAATAAACCAATATTGATAAAGCAAAACCTTTAAAATTTGTAGATCAAAAATTAGATAAGATTATAAATATATATTAGATATACTTTTAATATATATATATTCAAAGTTGAAAAAAGAATTGATAATTTTCTAAATATTAGAAATTTAATTACCTTTAAATTACATAATACAAGTAAATATTAAGATTGAAAATCTCAAACAGCTCCTGAACAATTTTTAGACTTGATAAAACAATTACTATATTAAATATATAAATATTTCCCTTACAATAATTTTATTACTTAATAAAAAATACTTTAAATAATTTTTATTTATGTTTTCTCAATAGACTGATTAAAAAGAAGTGATTACTAATTTTCCTGAAAACACAGATAAAATCTTAGAATCTTAAAATGAATTTTTTGACAACAAAACGAGAATAATTTTGATGGCAATAGAAATAGAAAGATTACATAAGATCTTAAATTCTAAAATAGATTATTACCATTAAAAAATGTAAGACTATATTAAGAGAGGTTAAAATTATATGTAAAACTTAGAGTTATTTTATAAAGGATAAATTGTTGAATACTTGTAAAGGAATACTGAATTAAATTAATAAATTCTTGAGAAAAATGCCTTAATTTCTCAAAATATTAAAGAAAAGTATAAGGAATTAGTTATGTAGTTCTTAATAAGAAATGAAAATGCTTATAACTCAATAGTGTCTCTAATTTGAACAAGAACTAAAAAGTTCTTAGTTAAAGAATTTATAATTATAAAAAGAAAATTAAGAACTTCGATCATAATTTGAGGATGCTCCTTAATTAAGAAAGAAATTATATGATTTAGAATAATTATATTCATAATTGTTAATAGAAAAAAATGAAGAAATTAAACAATTAAGTTAAAATAATTAAGAATATACCCTCAAAAATTCTTAATTAGATACTCTTAATTAACTTTTGTAATACAAAGAATTGGAATTATTAGAATGGTAATATAGCTCTTAATAAACTAATTTAATTCATGAAAACCAAAGATTAAAAAAAGAACTTAAATTCTTGAATGACAAATTAAATTTATTATTAATTAATAATGATCATCTCAAAGTTAAATAAGATGATATTTAGAATTTAAATTATTGTTAGACTACTATTTCTAATAAAATATTTAGATAAGCAAATGATATAAGGAACTAAACTCCAAGAAGATAATAAATTAATCCAACATAAGATTAATTATTTAATAGACAAAATACTCCTTCTAATTAAATATAACCATCATAAATTCCTATAAATTTGTAATCTTTATCTTAACCATAACGAGATAATATCAATAATCAAAATGATAATAATAATTATTAATTTAAGGAACTTATAGAATAAATTTTATTCATTCAAAATCAAAAAACCTAATCAAAATAAAGTATATAAAATCAAATTTCTTTATTAATTAAAGTTTTGAACTTGAAACAATAAGAAATATCATAATTTCTCTACTAAAAAAAGTAAATAGTATATTTAATTAGAAATCTTAGTAATTATGTAATCAACTAGAAATTATCAGCATCCCCATAATTTATAGCTAATCCATAAAGAAAAAAATTTCAGAAATATTATAGCCTTTCCCCAAATAACTGTTATTCTTAACCTTATGTAATTTTATAACCTCGTTCAAGAAGTCCAATTAATTAATATCATAAAGGAATAAAAACGGAAACAACATTTCATTCATATTCAAATATGTTAAGACAATAAATAACTCCTATTGTTATCAAGGTATAAAATAATATAATAATTAAAAGCCATAAAATATTGTCACTTATAATTATAACAAACCACAAACCTAGATTCATTATCATTTTTCTCCCATTCAAAAAACTGTAGTGAAATAGAATTTTCAAAATCCGCCTTATATTGTAAGAAATACATAACCTAACGAGGCTGTCTAATTTTATTAACCTATTAAGTATTTTACTTTATACATTTAGAATAAACGTCAACCAACCCAATTTGAGAAGTTTTGATAAACAGGAGTAAAATCTAAATGAAAATATGAATTAACCAGAGTTCAATGTTTATACTACTGAATTCTAAGTTAATTCTTAAGAAAACATAAAAAAAGGAAAATCTCCTCAAAAAACCTTAATAAATTTTCCAAAATAGGATGGTATGCTATTAATTAAAGATATTTTAGTTATAAATGATAAATCGCAATAGCAATAGAGTCATTTAGATGGAAGTTTACCTCAAAATGTCTTTGTTTCTAATGGAGATCAATCATTATCTTAAAAATCATTTGAAATCTACTAAGAAGATCAAATTTTTAATAAAATAACTTTACAAGATCCTGTATCTATAATTAAATAAAAATTAAATGGTTAAGCATAATCATAAGAAAATATGAAAGATAGTTTTAACATAATTTACTAATAATTTCAAGAGTTTAGATCAATATTCAAGCAGAAATTATATAATGAAGAATAAGAATTTTAGAAAACTTATTCCAACTCTTTAGAATAACTCTAAAAATTAGAAAACATAATTTTAGTTTTAGTGAATGAGAAAACATAATAGATTTCAAATTCAAGGGACAATAAATTTAATAGAATTTCATATGAGAAAATAGAGACAGATTAATAAAAAGAATATCAAAGTTATAAAATTGAGTAACCAAATTCCGATTATTTTTAAATTAAAAAATAAACACAGATTAATGAGGCTAATGATTTTTTGTAATAAATAACTAAATAGAAGAAATTACTAAATGAATAAAAAAATCATTTTAAATAATTAATTTCATTATAAGATGAAATTTAAAATAAATATGAACCTTTAGTATCTTTGTTATTTTAGAAGGAATCAGAATTAAATAAAGAATTAATTGAAATAAAATAAGACAAAGAAATGTAAAAATTAAATTTAACTTTAAGATTATAAGTTTAATCTGAAGAAATTACTAAATTTAAATAATAAAATTCTTATTTATAACAAAAGCTAAATGAATATAAGAATGAATTGAAAGATATTCAATTAAAATTAAA